TATCTAACTTTTTGGTTGGGGGTCCATCACCTGCTTGTTTTCGTGGCAATGTTACTGGGGTTCGCTGCCTATTCCGACATCCCTTCATTACGACATGCCTCTATTTACACGTGCTGCTTTTCCGACACTTTTTAGTCTCGCTTTTCAGACAAGTCATACAGACGTGGACAAAATTGTTGGTACCCCTGTGGTAATGAACGAAAGATCAACAATCGTCACTGAAATAATCTGAAACTGATAAAAGCAATAATAAATAAAAATTTACTGAAAATTGTCCAACAAAAATCAAACATTGTTTTTCACCTGTGGTTCAAAAGAATTATTAGAAAAAACAAAATAATGAAACTGGCCTGGACAAAAATGATGGTACCTTAACTTGATATTCTGTTGCACAATTTTTGAGTCAAACTCTACAAGCAAACGCTTTCTGTAACTGTCAATGAGACTTCTGCACTGGTCAACTGGTATTTTGATCCACTCCACATGAGCAAACTGTTCTAGTTGTCTCAGGTTTAAAGGGTGCCTTCTCTAGACTGCATATTTCAGCTCATTTCACAGATTCAATAAGATTTAGATCTGGGCTCATAGAAGAACACTTCAGAACAGTCCAATGTTCTGTTCTTAGCCATTCTTGTGTGTTTTTAGCTGTGTGTTTTGGGTCATTATCCTGTTGGAAGTCCCATGACCTATGACTGAGCCTAACCTTTCTGACACTAGGCAACACATTTCGTTCCAAAATACCTTGCTAGTTTTGAGATTTCATTGTACCTTCCACAGATTCAAGACACCCCCAGAACAAAACCAAGTCCCCTCCGTGCTTCACAGTAGGGTCCGGTCAAGTGGTAACGGAGGGAAACAGGGGCAGATTTTTGACATTCAAATGTCTCTTATTCAGAAACTAGAGGGACTATTGAAATAAGTAAAGTATCAGAATGTAGGAAAGAGTTACACTCCAACAGGGTCAAGTTAAACCTGTGATATTCTTTCAAATTTTAAAACTCATGTCGGTAACGGAGGGAATGAAATATGCAGCACTTTTTGGGCAATAAATCCAAACAGTGATAACTCTTGGTTCTCACTTCCATATCCTTAACAAACTGGTTTGAATATTTGCTTCATATAGTTTTCTACCATATGGTACAAGATTAGGTTGAAAAACCTCTTACTTTTTGAGTCATGACATTTTTTATTAAGAAAGGTCATGGTAACGGAGGGAAAAGTAACGGAGGGAAAATTGTGCAAACAAGTAGAAGGTGCAGGATTTTACATCATTTGTCGCTTTTTTCTTCTGAATACTTTAATATTACTTCAAAATGAAAGGAAACTATTTCTATAAAAAATGTCAGTCCTTCCAAGCAAATTTTTATCATTTTAAATCAATTTTTTTTTTGAAAAATCATGTACCTTCCTCAACAGTTCAAAGATGGAATAACACAAGATATGATGAAATACATCCATTTATTGACATGATTTGCAGGTCTTTGAAATTTGGGAAATAATTTTTGTTCCATGTTTCATACATGGTCTGTTTAAAACGTATGGAACTTTAGAACCAAAAATGGTACAGAAAAAAGGTCAACAGTTTCATAAACTAGAGTACATATGTATCTGTTCAATACATTTTTATATCAGATGCATTTACTTGAATTTTTGGCCTTGCTGTTTACTTCTGCTTGACCGGGCCCAGTGGGGACAGTGCTCTTTTCTTGGTCAGCTTCATTTTTGCGTCTGTGAACATAGAGCTGATATGCTTTGCCAAAGAGCTCCAGATTTGTCTCATCTGTTCAAAGAATATTCTCCCAGAAGCTTTGTGGCTTGTCAATGTGTATCATGGCAGAAATGTTTTATTTATTATTGCTTTTCTTAATTTCAAGTTATTTCAGTGACCATTGTTGATTTTTCTTTCATTACCAGAGGGGTATCAACAATTTTGTCCACGTCTGTATATGATGTTCTCCACAGATCGCCTACATGACAAAACGAATGAAGCACCAAAGGCCCATGCAGCCTCTGTTTTAGATCAGATGTTTTCCCAAAGGCTGGCCTATGCTCTTTTTTTTTTTTTTAAATGCATGACTGTTTCCCACGGTGATCAGTCAGGACATATTCCCACTGTCTGATATTCTATGTGGCCCAAGCATCTTATGATATATGGAAGCACAAATTATAATAGGCTTTCACATTAATATTATTCATGTCGGAAAAGCGGAATGTTTGAATAATAGTAAAGTGCCACTACTCCGACAAAAAAAGGTGAAGTAGTGGGACGCTTGAAAAATAACGTTTATATCACTACTCCAACAATTAGATGTCAGTGTCGGAATAGCAGAATGTAGCCAGTGTTACTGCTTCGTCTGGAATGTTCCACAGTATGACATTAAACAGCTCTACCGTGCGTTTATTCAGTTATAGTTGGTTTTCAAAAAAGACTGCTCTCCTCTCCACAGATCTGACCTGTAACCTGGTCTGGTTTTGTCTCCATGAAGGATGAAACAGAGTGAAACATTCCAGACAAAGCAACAACATCTCCATGAAGAAAAACATTTGACAGACTCTTAACCGGAAAATTTACCAAAATGCACCTTTAAAGTTCCAGTACAGATATACTGTATAGCAGCTCTTGAGATCAAAATAAGTCCACTGCATCTAATAAGAAAGTGTTTCATAGTCAAATACTCTGGAAGTGTGTGTTAGCATGCTAGTTGTTGGCTTTACACAGTACACAGCACTAGTAGGGTGACCAGACGTCCCTATTTACCCGGGACAATCCCAGTTTTGAGCCGTGTGTCTTCTGTCTCAGCACATTTATACAAAACCACTGATTTGTCCCAGTTTTATACAAGAAATGTCCCAGATGTTCATATTTTTGACCAGTTTGATCTAAACTAGGCCTAAACCAGGACTACATTAAGACTAAACCAAGACTATCACAATTTTTACTAAAATCAGATCTTTGCCAACAGCAAAGAGGAGCATAAATTGTCATTTGTTTCACCAAAATACAGAAAACCATGTTTGCAAATGACAATAAAACAAAAAATGCAGAGTCAGAATTCCGTCAGACTATGACTGACAGGAGAATGCACAATGTTCCACACTCTTTTCACAATTTTATTTATACCAACCATCCAAACCCGGGTGTGTTTCAGTTTAGAATTTTGAAAATCTGGCCTCTGAGATTTGTGAAAAGTGTTTATAAACTCATCGCTGTGAATGATTAGGATGCTCTGAATGCATAAGGTAAGTGAAGAATACATTTGATGACCAAACAGTTTAAAGATGCATTGTGCAACTTTCCTGGAGGAGAGTTCACTTGCTTGCCTCCATGCAGATGTTATTTACTTTGTCTAAAATGTTCCACAGTAGAGATTGAACCTATCTGCAATATACTTATTTTACACTATATCTGTTCTGGGGCAATACACGTTTTACTTTATTATATGAAAAAATCTGGTCTGTCTTGGTTAAGAGAATGTGCAAAATAAATAAACCAGGTCTAAACCAGGACTAAACCAGAACTGAACCTGGACTGAGTGTCGGGACGGGCCCGGAGGTGAGATTGTCAGGTAACCGCAGGAGAAAGGGCCGGCACAGAGCTCCACGCCTCACGGATTTAAGCGCAGTCGTTGCTCGATCAGGCTTTGTGGACACTCTGTTCCACGGCTTTGGGTTCTCTCTGTCTCTCTCCCTCAAGTCCAAGATTAGTTGTGGTTTAGTCATGATGTAGTCCTGGTTTGGTCCTGGTTTAGACCTGGTTTAGTCCTGCTTTAGATCTGGTTTATTCCTTTTGTAGTCCTGGTTCAGTCCTGGTTCAGTTCTGGTTTAGCCCTGGTTTAGTCCTGGTTCAGTCCTGGTTTAGTCCTGGTTCAGTCCTGGTTTAGTCCTGGTTCAGTCCTGGTTTAGTCCTGGTTCAGTCCTGGTTCAGTCCTGGTTTAGTCCTGGTTTAGACCTGGTTTAGACCTGGTTTAGTCCTGCTTTAGATCTGGTTTATTCCTTTTGTAGTCCTGGTTCAGTTCTGGTTTAGCCCTGGTTTAGTCCTGGTTCAGTCCTGGTTTAGTCCTGGTTTAGTCCTGGTTCAGTCCTGGTTTAGTCCTGGTTCAGTCCTGGTTTAGTCCTTGTTCAGTCCTGGTTTAGCCCTGGTTTAGTCCTAGATTAGACCTGGCTTAGTCCTGGTTCAGTTCTGTTTCAGTCCTGGTTCAGTCCTGCTTTAGTTCTGGTTTAGACCTGGTTTAGTCCTGGTTTAGATCTGGTTTATTCCTTGTGTAGTCCTGGTTCAGTCCTGGTTTAGTTCTGGTTCAGTCCTGGTTCAGTTCTGGTTTAGACCTGGTTTAGACCTGGTTTAGTCCTAGATTAGACCTGGCTTAGTCCTGGTTCAGTTCTGTTTCAGTCCTGTTTCAGTCCTGGTTTAGTCCTGGTTCAGTCCTGGTTCAGTCCTGGTTCAGTCCTGCTTTAGTTCTGGTTTAGACCTGGTTTAGTCCTGGTGTAGTCCTGGTTTAGTTCTGGTTTCGTCCTGGTTCAGACCTGGTTTAGACCTGGTTTAGTCCTGGTTTAGTCCTAGTTTAGTCCTGGTTCAGTCCTGGTTCAGACCTGGTTTAGACCTGGTTTAGTCCTGATGTAGTCCTGGTGTAATCCTGGTATAGTCCTGGTTTAGTTCTAGTTTAGTCCTGGTTCAGCCACAAATCGCGTACCCCCACTTAAAAAAAACCACTACACCACTGGTAACTACACCGAAAGTTGTCATCACATGTTTCCAAACGTCTTTCAGGTTTGTGACGTAAGCGTGAACAGAACCTTCAAGAAGCAGACAGCAAACAAAGGTCTCATTTTGACTCTTGCTTTTACAATACAAACGCAGCAAGAACAATTTCAGTTTATTATATGAAAAAGATCAGGTACAAGTGTCAGAAAGTAGTCCTACGGTATCTCGCTTTGGCTTATCGGTTGAAACTTCTCGGTGCGTATATAGGTCGGTAGAATGTGTGGAATGCGTGCGTACTTACGTCGGTCTGTACGATCATCCAGGCGTTGGTGAGGCCGATGTTCCCCTCTGTGCCGAAGAGCTCCAGGCCTTTCTTCAGGTCCCTCTGAGCGTACTGGTCGATCTGCACACACACATACGAGGACAGCGTGAGTGTACTAGATAGAACGAAAAGACCAAAAATAGCCGAGATGTCGCTCTTTCATTTAGTTTACATTTTATATTTCTGTCATGTTCGGTTTCAGAGACAGAGACGAGAAAAAACTGTGACTAACAATTGCTCCAAAAGTCTGTGCTCCAGCGGTCGAGTCGGAAAACACAATGAGTCGTGCATCAGTGTACAGTAATGACTTCAACAAGCAATAAAAACAAGAAAAGAGCTCAAATCAGGCAAAACGCTCGTCTTTGTCTGCTCATTCTTTACCCCAGACATTGTTATTACGTTTATAGTAAGTGTAAGTATAAATCAAGGTCTAAGAGTGACTTTGTGCTTTTGTTGTCATTAGCTCCGTGTAACCATTAGCAAAACAGAGCATAACCGCACATTAATAACCGCAGAGTGTGTGGACTTCCAAAGGCAAAATAACACAAATACAATCTGTATTTTAGGCATGTTGGGTTTTCTAACTCAGGTCCAGCTCAGAGTTCTGAAATGTTACCCAGTTTTGCAAGTAGGAATTCAGAGATAGAAGGGTGATCCAGTTGGAACTTCTTAGAACAATTGAACCTTTAAAGAACAAATTTGTACTTAAAGTCTTCTTACAAACATTTTTGGCATTCACAAAACTTTTTCTTATCTGAAAATGTTCTTCTGTAAGAGCAAATCCTATGAACAGTCTGGAGCACCTGTATGAACAAAAATTCTACTGTTTTAGAATATTATTACTCTAATAAAAACAACAAAATATTCTAATTCCTCCATGATTGTAGGTGATATATTTTCTTAAATTATTTCCTATAAACATATGACTCTGTGATCCAGTCACATTTATGAGGTGTTTTATAGAGTCTGTGTCTATTGGGTGTAACAGACTTTCTCCAGGCTGCAGTGAACCTCAGTCTGTCCCAGCCCCAGTGCCTCCATATGGGCCTCTGTCACAGTCCTGCACCTGGTCACTGCGCTGGACTCAACACCAACATCCCCTCCCTGACCCCCCATGACCAGAGCGCACTCTTATCCACCCCCACATCAGCCCCCCTCCCTCACTATTTAATGTGGGTCCACAATTGTGGAAAATGTAATAAATATAATAAAAGCACCCGCTTATTTCAAGTTTCTGACTTAAATCTTCCCTCTCTAAGTGTGTTCGCATGAGTTAGAATTTTTGAAATCACCGCTGAAGCTGTAAAACAGTCGTAGTCTGTAGACGCTCCACCTGACCTCCTCATCACTCTCTCCCTCGCACTTTCACGTGTCATAATACCAAACCCTTATAGGCCATATTTGAAAGTTCAGAAACTCTTTTACCCAAATACATATTCATTTTATGTAAATGAAATATAAATGAGCGTGAAGGTGTTTGTACTTGGGTGTTGGTGAATTTGGCGCAGCTGTCACTTTGGAAGGAAGGAATTTGCGAACTTAAGAACACTTTGTGAATCTGGTGTAGAGTTCTCTCAGCATCTTCTTAAAGTGGAAGTTACGAACATGTTTTCAAAAAGATTCATTAGTGAGGCCAATTGTGCTTGTGCCTGCTATACAGTTATAATCTATGACACCATTATGCTATAATTTGGACATTTTAAATCGCAATATTCATCTGAAATGACTTCAAAAAAGAAAAAGTTCGCCGACTTCTCTGTTACAAAACTACAGCACCTAAATTGAGCTGACGTCGCCTTAAATGTCATCACAACAAAGAGTCTGCACCTTCGATGGAGAGCTGCACATCACACTATCGCGTTATTTAAGATGACTCAAACATACACGAATCACATTTCTGGCAAAGCAATTGACACATCTATAAAAAACAAACAGGTGAAGACAACAATACACCTTTAAAACTTGTGATGTAGGTTGACTGTGAACAGGTTGGGGTTAAAAACACAGACAAAGGCGTGAAGCTGTGGTCCACACTTTTACTTCTTGTTTTTTCAATAGTTTACAAAAAGTGGAGGTGCCAAATTGCAAGGTGCAGTATGGAGGCAGGCAGCAGTTTCCGCTCCAGCAGCAGAACACAGAATGATGTTTGGAGGCGCCTTTTATCTGCTCTGATTTGTTATCTGATTTGGTAAAACTACAACGGCTAAAACAGAGATGGTAAAAATGAACATTAGCTGAAAATATTGCCCTAACACTCCATAAAACAAACGCAAAACCAACTATCAAAACCATACACCAAGTGAACTTTAACTTGGACAGAAGAAAAAGGAGGTAAGTACAAAGCAAAACCACAACATCATTCATTAAAACACAATAAAATACACCAACACACACATCAAAAACATTGCACCGTGTATATTGCACTACTCAATTTAAAAAGTAACTGGTTAAATAATAATGCCTCCTTTTCCTCCAGGGCCCAGGAGCTGTCAATTAAAATGCCACTGTGCCTCAGGATTAAAAGCAGTAAAAGAAAAGACAATAAATACATTTTTAAAACCAATTATGCAAATATTTTTAAAGTGCTGTGTTCTATCAAATGTGCAGTGTTTTAAAGTGTCTCAGTGAGTGCGTATACATGCACATCAATAACCCGGTTATGATCAGGTTTTTTGAGTATCCCGGTTTCTTCATGGTGCATGTATACGCAGTACCCCGGTTTCAGTATCACGGTTATGGCAGTATCCCGGTTATTAGAAACCGGGTTACTGCAGCTGTTTTTTTCCAATAGTAACCGGGATACTGGTGCATGTATACACAGTATACAGACACACGCACAGAACAGACTCACCATCATCAGCACCTCTTCTGTCACAAAAACAACACACATAATCCAGAGTCGTGTCATTTAGTCCAAAAGAAGCTGAACCACATCAGCGGCGCAAGGAGCAGCTGTTTTTATCGCCGCTAACAGTTTATGCTAATTAGCGATGCGGTCTTAAGTTTCGTTTCTGTAAAACGTAAACAAATGTGATCAGAGCTGAATTATCTGATCAAACAGGCTGATGTGGCTCTACAGTGGTTCTGGTTTATATGTTGTAAAGTTGAGTTTATTTATGCAGAAGATTTTAATGAAGAATCTGTTGGTTTGATGTGTGCAGTGGATTGTGGGAGATCTCAGAGCTCCTTAGCTTCTTATGCTAAAGGAGCTCATGGTTTGTATTTTTCCTGGTTTATGAAATTGATTTAAGTAAATTTTTGCGCTTGCGCATTTGTAAGATTATGTCAACAAACCGGGATACTCCATTTGATCATGTATACAGGGATATGAGTGTCCTGGTTTCTCATTGCGCATGTAAATGCAGTAACCCGAATACTGACATAACCGGGATATGGCTAATAACCGGGATACTGATGTGCATGTATACACACTCAGTGAAGGGTGAAGGTGCTGCTATAGGTAACAAAAGGACCCCGGCCGACCATAAACCCTAATTTACACCAAAGCGTAACAGCGCATAAGCACAGCAGCATAGCACACTTTCCATTTTAATTGGTTGGACAATTTACACCAGCAGTGTCATACATGTGTCTAGAGGCTGTCATTACACTGCACGCCGCTCAAAATAGGACGGAGTTCTAACTTTGCAGCGTCAACAGAGCTTCTCTGGGCTTTTTATCAGAAGAAATACAGGAAATGGGCACGCGGTGTCAAAATAAACTTCCGATGCCCTTTCAAAATACATTCTCTAAAACCACTACGTTCGCATAAACGTCACATCAGGAGCTCAAGGAATGACTCATGATGGACTATGGAAAGTTTACAGCCGCAGAGGATAAATATAAAACACTTTACGACATCAGACAGAAACTTTACAAGAACAGCTTCTGAAGGAAAAGGCGCGTGGTTCAAACGACGAAGTGTAAGGGTGAGGAGCTTCATTAACGCAAGAACCGCAGATACGGCTCATTATCACTGCAGAGCATCGTCTCTCTTGTTGTCAACCTTTGTATTGTGATTTAAAATATAATTCATCCAATCAACAATGACTCTTAAACAATGTAAAAAGTTTAGTGTTTAACACTAACACAGAGGCCAGCGTCACAGGAGCAGCTCTGTTGAGTTTTAAAAGTACACGTATGCAGCTTCTGGTGTACATTCCGGGTAAGCCTCGTCTTATAACTATTGGCCTACTGAAACGTATTCTCCAACACTATTCAAACTGGTACACTGAGAGTAAATTCAACCATGTTGTTTCTCTAACTTCCATCACCTCTCTGTGACTGTCAGCCAATCACCTTCCAAACCATATGCTCGCTCTCCCCCGTCTTTTGTTCTGTCATGTAGCTGTGACTCTGCTCTGCTCCATTTACACTCTCTGGAGCTGAAGAAGTAGCGGAGGCAATAGGTGGTTCCAGCCTGACTACAGAAGAACCAGCAGCCTCCTCAGCCTCTCCGACTCCTCTTCACCACCATCAATGAGTGCATTTACCTGAGCTCGAGTCTCCTGGTTCCGATCGGGTTTTTTGATTATCCTGGTTGTGTGAGTGTCCTTGTAAACACAGTATCCTGGTTTTAGTATCCAGGTTATGAGAAACTACTTTCCCAAATTGACTCAAACCTCTACCAGGACATTTTAAGCATTTTTATACTTATACGTTTTTATACATTAAGCAATTTTATACTTATAAACACAAGAAGCTCAATCAGAGATATCAACCTGGTCCCCATGAGGCACTGGTGGGTCAGTTCATCACCACAGAAGCAGTTTATGAGGAGCCCAGCCCATATTACATGATCATTATATCCACAATGTAATGTGTGTATCTGTACAGGCCCATGAACATTTGTGTGATATTGGTCACACATGAGAATGTCTGTGTTTACTAGTGTGGAACCAAAATGACATTTTTCATGAGTTGTGTAGGATGTTAGTTGTGTGACTGTAGATCAGCGTGTTGTGTGTCACCAAAAAAAACAAGAAATGGAAATTATTTTCATTCCAATTAGAATTTTAAAAAACTTTTATAATTAGTGATTATCTCGAAAACTATGAATATTTTACTATATAAATGCATAG